CATTGGCACATTGAAACATCCCGACAACTCCGGCGACGCCACTGATGCCAAGCTGTATCATCCACATGATGTTCCAAGCTGTATCATCCACATGATGTTCCAAGCTGTATCATCCACATGATGTTCCAAGCTGTATCATCCACATGATGTTTCCTTTGGGTTATCCAGCGGCGTGGAGTGAGGCCATTTGCTGTGTAAGGAACCAGCTATAATCCTAAAAACATAATAATCCCAGGCCTTGTGGATTATGTCCTGCGTTGTCTACACCATCGCCATAACGTGACGGACGGATGCCAGTTTTAAAAAAAATACAATTAAAATTCTATTCAACTACTCTTTGATTAACAATGCACGCAATAATCTCTCAGCAATTTAATATTTTCTGATTAGAATGCGGTTAAATTCGTTAAAGGACTTTGACAATTCAAACATATCCTCACTCGAGATGTCTGCGTTTTTTTTGTTGGTATAAATTCTATATCATAATATTAAAATATGTTTTAGAAGTGTTTACAATATAAATGACAATAGAAGACTAATTTTTGTGAGCTGTTCCAGGGGTTTTTTTTTGGTTGTCTATTTGTAAAGATTGGAAATAGCGGACTCTTATTCTTAGTTAAATAGACTTCATAGATATGGAGCCTACAAAACACTTGCCCGCCAAGCCAGTGGAGATTTCAGCCAAGCCAGTGGAGATTTCAGCCAAGCCAGTGGAGATTTCAGCCAAGCCAGTGGAGATTTCAGCCAAGCCAGTGGAGATTTCAGCCAAACCAGTGGAGATTTCAGCCAAGCTAGTGGAGATTTCAGCCAAGCCAGTGGAGATTTCAGCCAAAGCCAGTGGAGATTTCAGCCAAGCCAGTGGAGATTTCAACCAAGCCAGTGGAGATTTCAGCCAAGCCAGTGGAGATTTCAGCACTGCACACATCTGCCTGGCTAATCATTTGGGGACAATGTTGAAAATGTTGTGTAAATGTTGTATAACTGTAAATTTTGTATTAATGCTGTACAAAAACAGGTTCCAATACCTAACATTTTGTTCCTTTGCTTGACTAACTTTGTATCATATTTAAAACTAATCAAGTCTTGAGCATAATTTTCACTCACTGGAGAATATCTGTCAAACATGATTATGAATTTGTGTCCATTTGACTATTGCATCGATTTGTTTTGAAAGTTCAGTTGATCTATTTGTAATGACAAGGCAGCAAATACTTGAGAATGTTAATAATAATTGTTTTTACATCGGTGATGGAGATTTTTCTTTTCACAGATGGATGCTGACAATGCTGTGTCTCAAGATGTTAAAAGTATGTACCCCGAGCTGTCTTGATATGATTGGCTTCCTGATATCGAGTTGTTGAATTATTGTACCCCAAGCTGTCTTGATATGATTGGCTTCCTGATATCAAGTTGTTGAATTATTGTACCCCAAGCTGTCTTGATATGATTGGCTTCCTGATATCAAGTTGTTGAATGAATGTATTCGTCACATTGGGAAATGGTGTCGGTGGGCCATCGAGCACGAGCTCTTAATGCCCCCCCGGCACACCTCTACACGGGCAAGGCGCCGGGTTTTCCCGACGCCACACCATACGGCGGCACGCCGGGAACCTTCCCCCAGCCTGGAGGATCCCCGTTCGACCAAAAACGCTGCGTTTAGAGCGTTCGCAGCCAACTCTCCCAGAGGGTTTGGGTGGGTTTACTTCCACTCCGGGGGAAATGGTGTGGCGTTACCATCCCCCACCCACCGCCCTGGGAGTCTTTCGGTCGGGACAAAAAGCTGGGGCGAAACGGTTGCCTTGGAGCTACTTTCTCGAGGCTGCATAGCTAAAATCATCGGCATGGGTTTTACCGCCACCCAAGCCTCATATTCATTAACGGCAACATGTAATCTTTTATTGCGTTAATACTCCCGTTGCATTGGGAGCCATGCAGTCGGCCGGGGATTTTGGCTTTGTGTGGGCAAGTCCACCCTACTAGTCCGCCACTCCACAAAGAGGCAAACCCCATGTGGACGCCCCCAAGTTTCCTCGGAGACGCTCCCGCGAGCGCAGGACGGAATGGATGCCTTGATAAGTTAGCTCCCCTGTGTGTGTGTGTGGATCGTCAACATCAGTTAACAACGGGCATAACATAACATTTTTTATAACGACTTTAAATTTGATAGTTTACAAATAATTTCTATCTGTAGCTCATTCACTTTGCAAAAATCCTTATCATTTTTATTTATAAACCTTTTATAAGGCCTAGTTTGAAAGAATGTAGACACACTTTTTAGGCCTAGTTTTATAGAATGTAGACACACTTTTTAGACCTAGTTTTAAAGAATGTAGACTCACATTTTAGGCCTAGTTTTAAAAAATATAGACACACTTTTAGGCCTAGTTTTAAAAAATATAGACACACTTTTTAGGCCTAGTTTTAAAGAATGTAGACACACTTTTTAGGCCTAGTTTTAAAGAATGTAGACACACTTTTAGGCCTAGTTTTAAAGAATGTAGACACACTTTTAGGCCTAGTATTAAAGAATGTAGACGCACTTTTAGGCCTAGTTTTAAAGAATGTAGACGCACTTTTAAGACTGTAACAATTTAAGAGTATGAACGGCAATTAATTTTGATCCCAGTTGAAGACTTTTTAATCAAGAGTTACCTCCTTCACAAAAAAGAGGCCACCTCACTTGGTTAAGGAGACCTTTTCGTCACCGTTATTTAAATATGCAGAGATTGAGAACCTCTCGGACTGATTCGAGACCGCTAGCACTTAATCAAAAGAAGACAATGTTACGTTTGCACCACAGAGCCGAAAAAGTCGTTCAAAAACGCAGCAAAAAAAAAAAAAAAAAAAAAAGTTTAGGATTTTTTAAGTTTGAATAAAGGGCACTGGTTATTTAGAACTTTTTTAATGTATTTTTTTAAAAAATAATAACATACACGTTAAAATGTTGAAATGTATTTTGATTTAAAATGTGAATATTCTGAGTAGCGAAAGACAACGAGAGTTTGGAGAGCCAATTAAACTATGCAACATATGTATTCTTCTCTCTCATCCAGGTTTTTTTTAAATTTATTATTGCCGTGGCCTTTTTCTCCTGATTCCTTACATACATGTTAAATAGAGCATTTTGTTTTTTGCGCTGCACCAAGATTGTGTCATACTGGTTGCAATACCCTCAACATCGACTACGCGTGATTTCTCCTTTAGCTAAAGCCTAACTTCACGGTTCACGCACACAACATTTCATGTCTTTGTAGGACTTTGACTTTGGTCGATTTCAGCAATGGCTTTTTGTTTTGGTTTGGTGGGTTTTTTATTTTCATTTTCGGTTACGGTCAAAATTTGATATTTATTAATCTGGTGATCCTGTGGTCAAGGTGTCTCTCATCCAACGTGCTGCATCTCATTCTGTTGATTTTAATACAGTGTAAAACTTTAGAAGCCTTTAACCACGCCGACCCCCCACCCCCCCCCTACCTCCCTCTCCAACCATACTGACACAACTTTTATAAAATCAAAACTATTAAAAGGAATTTTTAAAAAGAGGATTCGTCGCCAAACTCATTGAAATTTCTTTGGCTTATTTAAAGCAAAGGCTTTACCGTGTGATTGTATCCTATGAATGTTAGATGACTGTTTCGGTCCAGTCAGTTCACTGCGTCTGTCAATGGTTGATACGAGTGGGCGGGTCCACTTAGTATACACTGCGTCTGTCAATGGTTGATATAACTTAGCGGTCCAGTTTATGTCAATAATGACGATTGCTCAACTCTGAGCATCGATTAGTCCTACCATTGTTCCGTTGACCAAATCTGTAACACCGTGCCAGAAAAAAAAATCTCACCTTGACGCCAGTTTACGACACGTCCACAGTATAATGTTCCTTTGGCTCCGCAAAAAAAAAACAAAAAAACAAACCCTTCTGACTCCCGATTCAGCGCCTACATTGTTATTTTTATAGGCTGTTGTCAATTTTATCTGCTATTTATGGCACACTACTAGTATTACAACAGGGTAATATTTATCTGTAATTATAAATAGATCATATCCAATATTTTACACAACATCGTTTTGGGCTAATGGTTAAAACCAGATAATTTGAACAGCTTGTAATGACATAAAAAATACCGAAACACTGCTGTTGTTTGCCATTTGGTTGACTTTCATTATAAAAGCACAACTTTTTTAAAGTGTATTTATCAAGATGGACGCCCGAATCCTAGATACGTCATAGAAAGAATAATTAGACACTAGCTATTTGTGTTAAAAAAACGATATGGGTTCAGCTCCAATAATGATCATATAGACTACAGATGTAAACGATTCGGAAAATGCCGTCATCAGTACAACAAAAAACATTCATATAACTATAAATTAAAATAATTTTTTATATATATATATATATACTATATGTCGAAGCGTTGAATCTATTGAGTTGCAATTACCCACTCATGGCAATGAGTGTCTACTTATCTAGCCAAGTCTCTCACTTGATCCCAGGACAGTATAACCAATAGCAACAGTTTCTAATTCATCAAACACTTTACGGTTTGTTGCAATATATGAATTTATTTAAGAACAATTCCTTTAACTAGGGTTGTGACATAATTACGGATTACTAATCCAATCGGTTCAACCTAACACACAGTAACACAAGTCCAACAGTCAAAATATCACATCCGCCATCAATCCTCCATCACAACATCGACAAAACTAACGCGTCATATCCCTTTACACAATTACGTCACAACATTCACACCCACGATACAGCTACACATACAATCTCTAACAAAACATCTTTTCCCTATCAAACATGAAAACCATGATCTACACATAACAACAGTGATTCTCATACCCTTGACAATATAGATATATATGCATGTATCCTACCTTAAATGATGGAAAAGAATAAGAGTGGGGGGCTAGTCCCTGACAAAAACACAAACAGTGCAGTTATTTAAAATTGTAGATTTGGTTTATTCCGTGCGGAGTCAACGTACCAAATAAAGAGAGAAGCGTCGACAGAGATGCAGTATTGGAAGGCCGCTAGCCTCATTGATTAAGTGGCACAGTGTTGCTGTGTTGAACTGTTATCTTTTTCAAGATCAAATGTTAAGGAAATAAGTGATCTTGAAATTAAAACTTAATTTTTTTTTTAAATGTTAAGAGACTAATTGAGTCATCATGTGTGTTTCGATTTTAAAAAAACGTGTGAACATTTTAATTTTTATCCATGACAAAACTGCAGCCGGCGTGGACAACAAGAGACGACAAAACTGTGGCATTGTTGGGGTCCACGTGAAACAACTGACACTGCCCCATCCCGGCGAGCCAGTTGAATGCGGTACACTTGATGTCATTCTCCCTTTGCAAGAGGCACAGCTGGGAGCACGCCATGACGTCAGGCACATTGAGCGTCATGACTGGTGCCATGCTCAACATCCAGCTGTCTCTCTTGAGAAAAAGTGATTCCTTGTAGTAGGCCGCGCTTACGTAAACTTCCATCTCACAGATGTGAAGGTATTCCTGCTCCATCCTGGGGATGAAAATACAAAATCAGAATTAATAATTCCTCCCCCACCCCCCTTTTTCCCCCGCAAACTCTTAGTATCAGAGGTTCTTAAATTGTGAGTAATGATCCTATGTTTGATCACACACAAACGGTAGCTGTTGTTTTGTTTTTTTGTTTTTATTTTGGAAACGAACTATTTTAAAAAAATAAAAACATGTTAACAGTGGCGTAGCTAGGGTCGGTGTCACCCGGTGCGGTAAACTCATGGTGTCACCCGGTGCGGTAAACTCATGGTGTCACCCGGTGCGGTAAACTCATGGTGTCACCCGGTGCGGTAAACTCATGGTGTCACCCGTGTAGCTAGGGTCGGTGTCACCCGGTGCGGTAAACTCATGGTGTCACCCGGTGCGGTAAACTCATGGTGTCACCCGGTGCGGTAAACTCATGGTGTCACCCGGTGCGGTAAACTCATGGTGTCACCCGGTGCGGTAAACCCATGGTGTCACCCGGTGCGGTAAACTCATGGTATCACCCGGTGCGGTAAACTCATGGTGTCATTTCACCCCCCCCCTCCCCCGACTTCCAAGATGAATTTATTATTGTTAAAATTAGTCCACAGTATAACAATGCAAGAAGAAAAACAAATTAATTAAAGGTCAGGAGGTAAATGTATTTAAGAACTGTATTTAAAAATTTATTGGAGCCAGAAAGATCAATACATTGATCTTGGGTCCTCAAAATATAGAAGAAGTAAAGGTAACAAGGTTAAGTTATATTTATTTTTACATTAAATTTACTTTATTAAAATTTTTCCTTTCCTGGTCTTCAAAGTTGAAAATCTGTCAATCACTTGATCAAATTCAATATCTGTCCCCTTGTCACTTTCTACTTTCAACTGATAGTAGAGCCAGATCAGGAAGCCTTGATTATACCATAGTGGATCGTAAATAGGTCTGATAAGCCTTAGTTTTGAAAAACTCCGCTCACATGAAGCCAAGGACACACAGATCGTAAGACAATTGAAGGCTTAGCAGTTAGCGAGAGTACTGGAAGAAATTCTAGGAAGTCCCATTCAGCTATGAATTTCAAAACATCAAATACTGACCAGTTCATGACTTTTTGAAATTCAATATCAGTTGCCTTTTGGTGTCTTCTAAAGCTTGGTATTTCTTTTAAAAGTTCATCCTCTGATAACTCAAACGGACACCAATAACTCTTGTTCACTTGATGATTATAGACTCGTGCGTTGAACAGCCCAAAACGTATCTGCTGCTTCCTTGATCACTGATGATTTTATCTGGAACTCAGAATGAAAGCGAGCAATGCACAACCGTATCTCCATTCTCTTTTCTTCTCGCAGAAAGATTTCAGCATCTATTAATTGTTCTCCTTTCATTCTCTTCTTAAACCTTTGTGTTCTCTCAACTGAAATTTCATATGGGTCTGATTTTAAAACTACATTTTCAATAGCATGTTCCACAAAGTGAAAGCGCTGCTCGTGTAAAAACAATATTAAGACCTATAGGGTTGTCACCACTTTGTCGAGAGTAAAGCCTTTAGTCTGCAGATACTTATGTGTAAAATTTACTTCCTCAAGTAGATTATCCCACAGGTAAAGGTGACAGGTAAACGTGAAATCACAGACAGCATGTAAAAGACATTGTGCTGTCTAGCATTATTGTGCTCTAATGTTAAGATGTGGTGCTAGTGACGAATCAGCGAAAATATTAATTTTTGAATATGTAAGGGTTTCGATAGATTTGGTTTCAAAAATATTTTTTTTTTTTTAAATTTAAATAAATTTAAATTAGTTATTAAAAATTATAAGAAAATTTTCTAAAATATTATTTTGTTAACCCTAAAAATGGGTAAAAATTCATTTTTAATGTTTCTAATTTTACCGATTAGATTCATTTACTTAGAATCGTCCGACCATATCATATTTGGTTTCAGTGGAAAGTTTTATTTCTCAGAATTTAGATAAATATTGCTTTCTGTCATTTATGAATATTACCGAACACTTCAATCGGCGTTGAATAATGGTCAAAAAGGTGTTTCTGACGCATCATTGGCACTAGTTATATGTTTGGAAAATTTCGTGTGATCGTTTGGCCTTTTATGAAATTCCGTCATACCGAGCAGTGTGTGCTCTGTAAATATGCATTTTTTTCAATTTGGTGTCACCCCCTGAAATGGTGTCACCCATTGTGGTCTGCACTCCCCCCCGCACTCCCCTAGCTACGTCACTGGTTAACCCTATAAATGGATAAAAAGTCATTTTTAAACGGTGTTTTTCTGACCTGATTATAGAGTCACCTCATTTCTGACGCATTAACATTTAACTTTCAATAAAGCACGCATTGGCATTGGTTATATGTGTGGAAAATTTCTGCGTGATTGGTTATCCTTTTATGAAAATCGGTTGGACAGAGCAGCGTGTGATCTGTAAATATGCAATTTTTCAAATGGGTATCATCCCCTGAAATGGTGACACCCGGTGCGGTCCGCACCCCCGCAGCTACGCCACTGCATGTTAATAAGAGTCGAACATTAAATACGTTTCTATAGAATGAATAAAATATTCGTCAGTTTTAGGACTGAATTGAATATGTTGCAAGACGACAACTTTCCAATGAGTTTTGGTTGCTAAGTCATCAGTTTGAAATGTTTGGTTTAACATATTTAATGTTTTGTATTCTCAGAACTTAAATAATTGCCATCTAACAATAGCAGAAACTACCAACATCCTGGAGGTTCAGTGGAAATACTACCAACAACATGCTGGGGGTTCAGTGGAAATACTACCAATAACATCTTGGGGGTTCAGTGGAAATACTACCAATAACATCTTGGGGGTTCAGTGGAAATACTACCAACAACATGTTGGGGGTTCAGTGGAAATACTACCAACAACATGTTGGGGGTTCAGTGGAAATACTACCAATAACATCTTGGGGGTTCAGTGGAAATACTACCAACAACATGTTGGGGGTTCAGTGGAAATACTACCAACAACATGTTGGGGGTTCAGTGGAAATACTACCAATAACATCTTGGGGGTTCAGTGGAAATACTACCAACAACATGTTGGGGGTTCAGTGGAAATACTACCAACAACATGTTGGGGGTTCAGTGGAAATACTACCAACAACATGTTGGGGGTTCAGTGGAAATACTACCAACAACATGTTGGGGGTTCAGTGGAAATACTACCAACAACATCTTGGGGGTTCAGTGGAAATACTACCAACAACATGTTGGGGGTTCAGTGGAAATACTACCAACAACATGTTGGGGGTTCAGTGGAAATACTACCAACAACATCTTGGGGGTGCAGTGGAAATACTACCAACAACATCTTGGGGGTTCAGTGGAAATACTACCAACAACATCTTGGGCGTTCAGTGGAAATACTACCAACAACATGTTGGGGGTTCAGTGGAAATACTACCAACAACATGTTGGGGGTTCAGTGGAAATACTACCAACAACATCTTGGGGGTTCAGTGGAAATACTACCAACAACATGTTGGGGGTTCAGTGGAAATACTACCAACAACATGTTGGGGGTTCAGTGGAAATACTACCAACAACATCTTGGGGGTGCAGTGGAAATACTACCAACAACATCTTGGGGGTTCAGTGGAAATACTACCAACAACATCTTGGGCGTTCAGTGGAAATACTACCAACAACATGTTGGGGGTTCAGTGGAAATACTACCAACAACATGTTGGGGGTTCAGTGGAAATACTACCAACAACATCTTGGGGGTTCAGTGGAAATACTACCAACAACATGTTGGAGCGCTAATCGTGCTTCCGTTGCATTAACCTAATCCGGAATTGTACGTAGCTGTTCTGCCTTTTTCCTCTTTGGGGTTTTAAACTTCACTTGCACTTGTTTCTTTTCCGTTCTTAACTTTGTTTTTGTCTGGGTTTTGCGCCCACTCTTAATCTTTTCTAATTTTAGGATACATGTATCTATATTATGATGTTAATTTAATTATACTCATTTTAATGGCGTTTTTTTTAAATATTTTTTTTCCACTGATGAAGGCATTGCCGTAACGTTTACATTTAATTTGTATTTGGTAAAATCATTATCATTATTATTATTATTATAAGAGCTTTTATACAGCTCACCACGCTGTACATACAATTGAACAAACATAATCCAAAACCTACAAAATTAATTAACATATATACATTAATTAAATTAAACAAACAAATTGATATCTAAAACTATTTACATGTCTAACCATGGACGACACCCAACGGCATCGTTTTTCAGTCAGAGGTGGGGATTAGTCAGGATAGTAGAGTTTAAAGAGGTGTGCTTTGAGTGCAGTTTTGAAGGCTGTGATGGTCGGTATATTGCGGATGTGTAATGGAAGAGAATTCCATTGTTTGAGGGCACGGAAAGAGAACCATCGTTCACCGTATGTTTTTGTTCGAGTCTTGGGGACGGAAAGAATACGCGTGTCTGCGGAGGAGCGAAGCTGTCGAAGGCGTGAATAGACAGAGAGAAGTTCGGTTAGATAGGAAGGGAAGGAGTTCGAGAAAAAGTTGTGGAAGAGAACAGAGAGTTTGTAGTCAATCCGTGCTTGTACAGGGAGACAATGGAGTGAAGGAAGTAGTGGTGTGACGTGATCACGTTTTTTTTTTCGCCTTAACGTTATTTCATCAACGTTGAACATATATTGTTTTATTGACACAAATAGTTTGTGTCCGTCCACTTCATCTGCCGTTACATAAGTCTGATGCACATAGCAATGTATGTAAAAGAGGATCTTATCTCTTGATAAACTGTTGACGAAGTTAAATATGAGAAGACCTTTCTGCGGCAAATGCGCGGACACATGTTAAGACATGCGAGTCAACGAGCCCATTTGAGGATCAGACATAATACATTAACAAGGTACGTGGAAGCTTGAAACAGAAACACGTGAAAATAAGAGAATAACGTTTCGCTCAAGAGCCTTCCTCGGCAGACAGGACAAATGAAAAAAAAATAACAAGAAATAGAAAGAAGTTAAAAAACTTAAGTGTACGCCATTAATGTTACTGCCGGAAGTTGGATAAGACAAAGAACAAGAGAAAGAACAGGTGTGGAGGGATTAAAGTAAATTTTAAGAAGGGTAGCTGACATTAATCAATGAGTTTAATTTTCCAAGGAGAGAGACATCCGATGACACTGGGGATATCATAAAACTACAGGCTTCACAATCTGGTGGCCTCACAATCTGGTGGTCACACAATCTGGTGGTTTCAACATCTGGTGAACTCACAATCTTGTGGTCTCACAATCTGGTGGTCTCACAAACTTGTGGTCTCACAATCTGGTGGTCTCACAAACTTGTGGTCTCACAATCTGGTCGTTTCAACATCTGGTGGACTCACAATCTAGTGAACTCACAATCTGGTGGTCTCACAATCTGGTGAACTCACAATCTGGTTGTCTCACAATTTGGTGAATTCACAATCTGGTGGCCTCAAAATCTGGTGGTCTCAACGTCTGGTAATCTCACAAACTGGTGATTTCACAATCTGGTTGTCAAACTATCTGGTGGTCTCACAATCTGGTGGGCTCAAAATCTGGTGGTCTCAACGTCTGGTAATCTCACAAACTGGTGATTTCACAATCTGGTTGTCAAACTATCTGGTGGTCTCACAATCTGGTGGGCTCAAAATCTGGTGGTCTCACAATCTGGTGGTCTCACAATCTGGTGGGCTCAAAATCTGGTGGTCTCACAATGCCGTAGTAGTAATGCCGTATTCTTAGGCTTTAAAACGGAGTTTCTACGGCGAAAACATAGGGGTAAACAGGTCAGCTTGACATTTTTTTCAACAATAAAAATGAAACCATTTAATGTACTCACATGATAAGACGTACAAACCTCCCAACGATCGGGGCGGGGCATTGCCACGTGAATGTCCCTTTGGTCAGTGGCGCTATCTGGCTGTAACAAATTTGACCGGTGGTCGAGGGAAAGCTGGGCAGCTGCCTGGGATCTGTTTCGAAAATGTCGATGATAAAGTTTCTCAACCTCGTTGACTTTTCACCTCTGAAAAGAAAGAAATGTGATGCGTTGGCACGTTACAATTATCATCACAGCGATCGGTAAACATATTGAGCACGTGACTGAAAGAGTCAAACAGGGTGACTGAAACACAAATGTTTTTTCATCTTGTTCGTCCTGCGCACGCGAGGATGACAGAGGCGATTCTCGCCCAGAGCAGCAGCCTGGACTGGGGCTGCAGCAGCCTGGACTGGGGGCTGCTTTTTTTGAACGTGAGGGAGAGAGCTGCTCCATTTCGCGGTGCTCTTTATCCGTTCCTACGCAACAGGAGTTGTCCGAATTTTCATCGTAGTGTCAAAGTCATACCGCCTACGGGACTCCGCCTCTGGGGAGTTTGCCCTTCTCTTAGATGAGTTGCCATCCCAAGGTTAACGAGTCCCATCCACCCGGGGTGCTGGTCACGTTGTTGTTGTTTTTTTTTTTTTTTTAGTGCTCGTGTATTAAGTAATTATGAATGATTTCTTTTATTAAATAGGAACGATAAATGTCCATAAAGGACTCAAAACAAACAACACTTATTTTTAACAACCAACATTTCTTGATTTGATTAATACCGTGAGATACTATTTACTTTGTTTTAAAATTTAGTCACCGTTACTTAAAAAAGTATTCTCCAGACACATTTATTGTCAAACAAGTCATACAAATATGAAATATACAATTGTAAAAATTGTAAATTGATGTTGTGCAGAGCTGACTAGACAAAAAGTGTTAAAATGGACATGGTTGGTCTATGAGTTAAACGCGACAATGCGCCACCCAGACCCTAAAGAGAAAATAAATTGCGTTCAAAGACATAAACAGGTAAATAATCTTTCTGCACATGAACACAACTTAATTCCCACCTCATCCACAAAATACCATTAAGACACCAATGTGCCCCACTCTACAGACACCCGCATGTGGCGACAACGCATCCTACTTCCGGCTACAACAAAGGCGCTCACTTACCTTTTCATCTATACTCAAATTTCTTGTCGTATTTTCATTTGTCCTGTCTGCCGAGGAAGGCTCTTGGCCGAAACGCTCTCATCTTCTCGTCCTGTCTTTTGATTCAAGCTGCCATATACCTCGTTCTACTGTTTCATTCACATTCTCACTGACCAGGACTTTAGGACTTACGCCTCAACTATCTACCCAAAAGTACCAGCCTACACCAACACCCAAAATACAAACAAACCGCTGCGGAGGATGTGCAAAGTGATCACCATGGCCTCGAGTCAAAAGCCACATACCTACTGGATCTGGATGTAACATCTGTATTATAGTTGCCCTTAAAAAGTATAAAAAATGATATTCTTGACGTCTGAATTTTTTCTTTCCATTTCATTAAAACAAAAAGTGAAAGGCGTATATTATCACGTCAACTGTCTTTTGACAACTTAACCGCAACCATTTACAATGTGTTATCACCCGAACCTGTGTTTTTTACTTTTTTACTTTTCCTATAGCCTCGACCTTGGCGCAGTCCCCCACCCCCACTCCCCGTCCCCACCAAAAGAGCAGAACTGATCTCACCTGTTGGTAAGCACGATCGTCTCTACCACAAACTGCCCCTTCAGGTCAACCATCCACCACGGCCGCACATCGCTCTGTGTATGTTGACAGCTACCCGCAACCAAGTCGTCCCCGTTGTTGCCGTCGTTGCCCCGGTAGGCTTTGTGGTATTCAAATTGTGAGCTCTGATAGGCCGGCTTGTACTGGGCGGCGTTGTACATGGAGCCTTCGACAGAGAAAAAACCCTGGTTGCCGTTCATCAGCACGAGTAGCAACAGTGTCACGACTTTGGTCATTTCTGACAGATTATCAATGTAATTATTCGGCGTAAAGAAAACCTTGCGTTGTGCACACCGTGTTCTCGTAAGAGAATCTTAATTTTACCGTGTCATTAGGAAAAGTTTTCAATATGAAGAAGCGCCTTTTTACATTCCCGGAAGGAGATAATGCTGTCGTCGACCGAATTTGAATGCCTTAGCCAGGATATCACGGAGAGCAAAATTCCTTGGCCTGGTCCCCCACCTTCGTGTTCCGTTATAACCTGGAGGCAAGATTGTAAACCTGGCTATCTGCACAATTTGTGGAGCCTCTGGTACATCTTTTCTCGAATGTTCGCAGCTTAAACTGGCAAAAATCCTGATGTACAAATTCACCAGCTTGTGGTCCACCAGACTGGGGATATAGACATGTTCGTTTTAAAGAAGTATTTCTTTTTATTCAGATGTTATAACAAAACGATTTTTTTTATACTTCAAACTGAGACACAGCGACGTCATTAACATGGCGAGCTTTCTTAACGGAATCTCTCTTGGAATCTGCAGTTTACTCGTGACATGAATAGGTAAATAGAAACAAGTAGCAATAAAAAAAAATAAACATAATTTTTCACTGTCCAACACACTCAAGACATTTAAACAAGAATTATCGACTTGAAGGTATCGATTCTTTAATTGATTTTGTAGTTGACGATTATCTGGACTGATTGGATGCTGTTACACAATTAATAAATGGGTTTATTTTGTCAGACAATGTAGCTTATACTTAAGATTTAAAGATAAGTCACGCACAAAAATTGGACACTTTTCATTTAACAGAAAGAGGCAGGAAATTTTATCTGATGGATCTCAATTGGTAAATGGGTGTCCCCCGAGTTGCCTTGGTGTGTTGACTTTCTGATCTCAAGTTTACGGTAGGATGTCACTAAATCTGATTTGGTACGTCGACTTTCTGGTCTCGCGTTGTGAAATGGATGTACCCTGAGCTGATTTGACAAGCTGACTTCGTCACGTTTGTCCATGTAGTTGTACATATTTCATGAGCCCCGCCACGCTCATTTTAGTTGTATGCTTCAACGCACTCCCTGCCATCCCCTTTTACATAAGACCAAAAGAAAGTATAAAATAAAACAATATAAAAAATACTTTCGTTAAAATCCGCTTTTCCAAAATTGTAATACAAATTTTAAAATAGCTATTATTTTGTTTTACTAAAGTGTATAGTGCGTTCAAAAAAGTAATTTACGAAAATTTTAACGTGTGAACTGACAAAAAAAATTCGACCAAACTTCCGTTCGATTAAATTTCCGTCGACGAAATTTCTTTCAAACAAATTTCCAATAACCCCGACATCAGGTTTTCGATTTTGAAAAAAGCTTTTGACTCATTACTCCAACTGTTGTGTCAGCCAAATTATGTATTTTTTTATCGTAAATGTTTTGTACTCAAATCAAGGTCATGGAGGAAACGTCTCAAAACCATTTTTTTTTGGTAAGCAGACAGTTGGCGCTTGTTTTGAAATGCTCCGTCCACACTCGCCCCCTGCTGTGTGAGAGTCTTTTTTTTTCTATTAGCACTGGAGACAAGGGCGTATGAGGTATGGGGCACCGGAGACAAGGGCGTGTGAGATGTGGCACATTGGAGACAAGCGCGTGGGAGACGTAGGGCACTGGAGGCAAGGGCGTGTGGTATGTCATGATTATGTCTCTTTTGATAAAAATTGTATGTACAGTGCGGTGAGCCCAGCCCTAGGCTGGGGTACCGCGTTATATAAGACCTCTTATTAGTATTATTATGTGGCGCATTGGAGATTAGGGTGTGTGAGATGCGGGGCACTGGGGACAAGGGTGTGTGAGGCGGGGCACTGGGGACAAGGGTGTGTGAGATGGGGGCACTGGGGACAAGGGTGTGTGAGATGCGGGGCACTGGGGACAAGGGCGTGTGAGATATGGCGCACTGGAGGCAAGGGCGCGTGAGATGTGGGGCACTGGATTCAAAGGGTGTAAGAGATGGGGGCAATGGGGACAAGGGTGTGTGAGGCGGGGCACTGGGGACAAGGGTGTTGAGATGTGGGGCACTGGATTCAAAGGGTGTAAGAGATGGGGGCAATGGGGACAAGGGTGTGTGAGGCGGGGCACTGGGGACAAGGGTGTAAGAGATGGGGGCACTGGGGACAAGGGTGTGTGAGATGCGGGGCACTGGGGGACAAGGGTGTGTGAGATATGGCGCACTGGAGGCAAGGGCGTGTGAGATGTGGGGCACTGGATTCAAAGGGTGTATGAGATGGGGGCAATGGGGACAAGGGGGCGCGTGAGATGGGGGGCACTGGGGACAAGGGTGTATGAGATGGGGGGCACTGGCGTCAAGGGCATATGAGATGTTTGGCACTGGAGACAAGAGCGTGTGAGATGTGGGGCACTGGAGACAAAGGCATGTGAGACGTGGGGCACTGGAGACAAAGGCGTATGAGAAATGGGGCACTGGAGTCAAGGGCGTGTGGGATATGGGTCAATACCGGAGTCATGATCCCGTCAATAATTTTGTTATACATTTCCATAGCCGATATTGATTTCAACTTATTGAATGTAAAATGATTCACGATGACAAATAACATTATCGGTACACCCTTAGGCGTGGAAAGATTGGATATATAACAAGGTAAGGTAAAAACTTGACTTCAGACAAATACAAAATAAACACGTGTCTGATAAAAATTCTAGAATTTTAATCAAACAAATGACGGTCCACCCCCCCCTCCCCCACCCACATCCCGGTTAACCAGTTGATTGCAATATATCTAATGTCAAGTTCCCTTTGTGAGAAGCACTGCTGGGAACATACCATGATGCCATCACCATTTACCCTCATAAATTGCGTCATATTCACTATCTGTTTCGTCTTAATGATGAATGATAACGATTCTTTGTAGAATGCAACCCTTACACCTCCAGTTCACACAAATTAAACTACTATTTCACTCTACAGCGGTTACCAAATCGAAAGGACCAATATTTAAGGCGCAAAACCCTAGATGTCTTATTATGTTTCCATTGCGTTAAATATAAAATGTCTTGGCTTAAATATGTATATATTTATGTGCTGATTATGAATATGTAAATTTTAATTAAAAAAATATGTCCATCTAAGTGGATCAGTAAAGAATCTT